CCCTCTCCAAGTAGGGTTATCATATAGAAGGACATATGCAAATGAATTTGTTTGTGCGGTTTTTTATGTTCAATCAATGTATGTGAAAATGCGCTTTGGTTGTTTCAAAAACATGTATTATAACTCAAAAAAAATCTAGAAGTTGTGTATGCATATGTATAGATGTGTTGTATGTGTGTACGGATTTTCATCAATATGCATATTTATATGCAACATATACAAAAAGGACAAATAGATGTACCAAAATGGGTTTGTATAATGTTGTTTTTGGGCCGGGTTTTTTCCTTGTGTGTAGCGCATAATCTATCTTATTAGTTAAGGAAAATTAAAGCTACATGGTGAACATCCATTTGCATTCATATAAAACATTTAAATACAACATTCTTCTTTTTAAAAATTGGGCTCCCCGCACTCCAATGTGTACTGATTTAAAAGCTAGAAAGATTGCCCGTCCTATTAAACATATTTGGTTTGTGAAGTCTCCTCTTAAAGTGAAAGTGCTTTTACGACTTGCATTTTAGAAAAGTATACTACTCCCTCCGTGTTTAAAAACATGCAATATAAATGTATACTTTTTGTTTGAAGTCAAATGTTGAAAAGTTTGGCCGAATTTGTAGGAGAAACTTTCAAAAACTACAATACTAAAATGAAATTGTGACACTGCTTAGTTTTGTGTTAGGAACTCAAAATAAAATTCATTTTTGTATTTGATTTACTTAAATAATAATACTTATTAAAGTTACAAGTGTTTACACTTGTTCTTGCATATTAAAAAGAGTAAAAGTTGTGTGCAAGTTTCAGTATGTGCAATTTCACTATTGTGTGTGCGTGAACTTTTTGTTTGTTCTTTTCTTATTTTTTTGTGCTACCACATTGGTTTGGTTTTGTCTTTCTTCTTTCAACTAATACCAATGCCCTCACTAAGGTATGTCTTACAATAACTTCAAAGAGCATCTATTAAGTTATCGATTTGATTTTTAAACATATTTACCCCTCCACGCTATGGCAAAAGAAGAAATGACTCCCTTCAAAACTAATGACAAAACTACTCCGTTTTAAGCTGGCTAATCGACATGTGGCGCACATCACCATTACCAATGGTGGAAAATGTATAGGATCCAAATGGTCAAACTAGATGTTTTCCTACTACTGCGTTTTTGGAATTCTGTGAATCAAAGAGGCCTTTAGCTGGAGCTGCCAAACTCCTTCCAAAACACAATAATTGACATTTTAAATATTGATACTGTCTTTTAAGACATTCTGTAAATAATTTTTAAGACAAATCTATAGACATGATTTTGGAAAGGAGGGAGTACTATTTAAAACAAATTTAGTAGTGGTAGTAGCAGCAGCAGTAGTATTTTTAAAAAATCCTACAACTTATTGCCCCGTATCAAAATGTAGGACATTTTTGTAGGCTAGTTTAGCGTACAAAAACATCTTATATTTTGGTACAGATTTAGTATTTTTGAACTGAGGGAATCCTTCACCAATCACCACATATGCTTGGACATCAATCAGCATTCACACAGACCTTGCAACAAATTCTCAAGATGGAATGGCATAGCCACTTTACATCAAACACAGGCACAGCAAGCCAACAACATTATCATCATATATTTATACACCGTTTTGCAAGCGATTTGACACCCACTCAATGAGAAAACAGCACGAACTGGCAAGGGGGTGTATTGATCAACGAGAACGAATGCTACTGCCAAATATACAATAAAAATATGCCCTATGACAAACAGGACACGGGGGAGAATACATATCCCATGTCAACATGAAAATAAGGAACATAGGAAAACTGCCTGCTCTGATCTGCCCTCTGCTGAAGTTCAAACTTGCAACGAATTGGGTCATAATTTACGTGCCATCTGATCAATCATGATGAGTACAAAAAGAGCTCTGCAAATCCACGAAATAATGAGCCCACGCCATTTTTCTTGGTCACTAACACCTGATTTCATATGATCCAGCCCTTGTGATGTAGCGAACCCACTCAACGGTGTTGTAGCCACTCTTCTCCCACACCTGAAAATGCATCAAGAGATGGTTTTAGTACCAAACATTTTCAATGTTTCATATTGTACTTGCTCCACATACCTTGAGGAACCGAACACGTAAGCCAGAAGCAGTGAACATCGGAACCTGCAGGAAAGAAATATCATAGTGAATAAGAGTGCAGGAAGCCAGGAAACAATCAGACAACATGGGGGGGCCTATAGCACATTATATGCATGAAGGCTCCTCGAACAAAAATACTCCAAGGTCAACCAATTATTTAAGTATCAATTTATATTGTACATGCTAAAATTTTGTTCATAAACAACGAGATACTGGGATTCTTTGCTAACATTGTCATTCTCAGTTATAAATGCAGAACAGATAAATAAAACAGAGTGGAGGAAAGCTCATAGCCATCTTGCCAAGGAAACAATAAGATTCTTAACGAGATTAAATGTAACCTGGAACTCCATCTGAATCGGTGGCCTGTTCGCTAACTTCTTTTCCCCCATTGTAGAGATCAGTTCAACTTCTGCACTCATCGTTGCCTCGGTCTGTCCAGGAAATTTCCTGATCCTATGGTTTGAAATGTGCATTATGATTTATGAGTTCATGCTGGTCAATGTGCAATAACTGCAAGAGGTAGCTCAGCAAGAAAAAGAACTCCCAGTACATGCACTAACAGGACATACTTTAAAATTGCAAATAGCTAGGCAGGGCATAATTTAGGGAAATTTAGTTTACACCATTCTGAACAATTCACAGCTAGGCAGGGCATAATTTAGGGAAATTTAGTTTACACCATTCTGAACAATTCACACTATCAAGCCCATTAGACTACGACCCACATACTGGCTTTGGTATAGTGCAAATATTAGACAAAAAGATTGCACTTACTTCCACACCAGGGAATCAATCGAAGCATTATATTTGGCTTTGCCAGATGTTGTTTGGAAACTCGTCTTTGCTGTCTGCTTTGGAACCGGAACTTTAACCACAACACCAAGTGCAAACATCTTAGCACCAAAAACACTCTTAACCTGCGTAACAAAAGATTCACCATGTCAGCAAACGTGTACACGTTTATGACGTAACCGAGTAGATATATTTGCTCACTTTCACATTAATCTCCATGCGTGTTCGGCCCAACTCCTTAATTGTGGGCAGAACCCGGA